AAACCCTAAGCCCCGAACCCTCAAACCTAATCAGTATGTCCAAAGAATGGTCCCTGTTAACGACAACACTCTGCAATGCTGGTCAGAGGAGGTGCAAACAAGGGCATCGAAAATTTTGAAGATCCTCCAAATCTCCTAAAACCCCTGAATCCTGAACCCTAAACCACCAACCCTAGACCCCAACACCCTTAACCCCAACACCCTGAACCCTAAACCCCAAACCCACACCCCTAAACCCGAATCCTCAGCTTTTGCCTCGTCCAGTGGCACTTCATGGCCTCCATCAAACTCGAATACCTCACCACCAACAGCGCGAGCAACCTGACGACAGGCTTGCAAGGAACATAATTCAAATTGACATGATTTGGATATATCGACACTAATGGGGTTTCCTTAATATAGTAACTTAATCTCAGCTCCTTAGCAGCAACCGAGGTTAAGGTACTAAATTCAGATACCAAGTCGACCACCATTTGATTTTAAGGAAACATACTAGTTACTATCCTGACCATGTTATGTTAACTTAATCCAGTACCACCCCCCCCAAGAAATTGGTTCTCAGACTCGCGGTTGTTTAGGGCTTAGGGTTTAGGCCTTGGGGTTTGCTTCTAGAGCTGGAGGTCTAGGGTTTAGAGTCTCATAAAGTCACGGCGGTGTAGGGTTGCGGTACTGTTAAAAAAGGCGGGACCCTCTGTTTCACAAGAACAGACATCCTTATGGGATATCTGGGTATCTGGGGATGTAAAGCTTAGGATACGGGATTTAGAGTTTGCAAACAGCACATTGCTGAACCGTGCACGCCCCACGCAATCCCTTTGTGGTCTGAGGATGTATGTAGGGTTTTAGGGCAAATGACAGAGAACCCCCAGATCCATAGCTTAGATACTTCCAACAGCTATCGCCAGGAGCCCACGCATGCCAAGCCGTCAAAATCAGCATGAAGGCTATAGAACGAAAGGAGCTTGAAGCTAATACCCGTCAGACCCGCTGGACATCGGCGGAAACTTTCAGCGTCCTTGCGACCTGCGGACACTGTGAAAGAGTCATGGCTCGAATGCATTGCTTTCCTTGTCGTCCTGTAACCGCGGATGTGAAGATTCTCTGCGTATGCTAGGACGGCTGGCAGCTGCGTCTGTACATCCTTGAGGGAATAGGCAGCATTTGAACCGAGGCCTCCAAATTTCTGGTAGGGATGCTTCTTATCACGAAGTGAAATGCCTATAGTAGTTTCCATCTCATCTTCCATTATACCTATACAACCCCTTTATACGATGGTAGTTTCCATTCTGTTGTCCATTATCCCTATATAACCCCAAGATAATATGCCCTATATAACCCCTATATAGCCCCAATATACTACAGTTAAAGGCTTCCCAGGATTCCTGGGGACCTGGAGTTGCCAGGCTTTGGCTCACAGTGCGATTGACTCCTCATGCTGCGCGCACATGGAACCTCATCTAATCTAGTCCCCTTTGATCAAAAACCAAGGGATTGTAACCTCTGAAGGGCTTCTGCTGGAGTTTCACTGGATTCGACGGAATAGTTATAATCTTCAAGATCTTCTAGGGCCGATTCTAGGGATAGAATGGGGAGTCTGCGGGTCTGTCACGGACCCTGCCCCGTAAGCAGAGAGGAATGCTTGTATAGCGCAAAACAAACATATGCAGCCTCATACAGTGCCAAACATGCAGAATGGTAGCCCCAAACCCTAAACCCCTAAACCCTAGACCCAAAACCCTAAACCCCATTCTCTACCCAAATGTCGGGCACCCTAAGCCCTAAATCCTAGCCTAAATGCTACAGTATATTTGTCAAGCCAGCCACTTGCCCCCAAAGCCCTGTACCTTAGGTCATTGCCCGTTACTATGACTGCTACCGCAGTCATAGTAGAACTTACTGTAGTCCCCTTCGTAACACCCCTTTCAGCAAAGTTACTTGGAGAGGCAATGACCCAACCTGTACCCCCAACCCTAATTCCGGAGAGTCCCTGTCTAGTCCGCCGACCTCCCGCGCGCCCTCGGGTGGGTTCCTTAGCTCTTGATTATAACTGGCCTTGAGCAGATGAGACATGGACTTCCCCAAAATCACAATAAGATCCCCATATAGGCCATATCCTACCTACTTAGTGCTTAGTTTCCAAAGGTGACCCGTGGAGGCACCCCCCCAGCCCCCACATCAAAATGTGACAAGTTCTAGGTCAGAGGCCCCGAAGCCGGAAACAACTTAGAGTTAAAGGTTTAGCTTAGGGCTTGTAGTCCCCTGAATTAGATAGAAGATGTCTTTGGGTATATTATAACCAGGACCCCATATACCCCATATTCTATCTCCTTAAGGGGGACTGTAGGGTCTCAAACAATCAAACCCGAAACAAAGTCACACAGTCCGCACTGCTGACAAGAGAAATCTGCCCAAATTGTGCAAACATAGCTGGGAAACCCTCACTCTGCCCTACACAATGATTTTCTGGACTGCTGTTAAGGAACATTGCTTAAGTTACGACAATGTTGGGGCCCCATATTAAAAAAGAATATATACCCATTGTGGCAATTCAATTTAAGTTCCTTAACAGCAACCTAATTTCTCAAAGCCCTATACCAACAATCCAAAACCACCGGCCATAAACGCTCAACAGCTCAAACGCCTGCAAACACTACACTCACTGCACCCCAAGCCGTCAAATCTTCGCACCCCTGAGCTGGGTTTATTATTGTACAGGTCAATCCCAAGCGCTTTGGCTGATGGAACAAATCCTTGCACCACCCCAGAAGATCTTAGGAACTACAGAAAACCCCCAAACCCTAAACACTTAACCTTACACCCTAACCCTTAACTTAAAACCCTAACCCTAAACCCCAAACCCTAACTGACATTAAACCCCTACGTTTAAGCACCCTAGGCGGTTCAACCCTAAACCCCAAAGCCCCTCCCTAAACCCTAAATAGTAGT